TGAAATTCCAAAAAGTTTTATCTAGAAATACCAGAATTGAAGCAGCATTAAGTTAGCAAAACTTTTCTTTGTCTGAGAATTTCCTTTTATTTATTTTATTAAGAACTACTGAGGGACTGAAAGTAGACTTGAGCCATAAAACCAAGTATATAAAATTTTATGGGCTGATTATAAGTCTAGGTCTGAAGTTTAACACAGATCCTTCTGCATTAAATCCTGCATTGAATGAGGTGTCACAGCTTTTATTATAGCCTTTCAAGGTTTGATTGCATGTCAGTGTAATTAAAACATTCTTTGGCACATGATCATATGCCTTCATGATCACAGGCTGCTCTGTGTGTGCATGTTACACAGCAATGATACCACCATCCACCATGGATTCAGAAATGCTATACCATTTTGTCCAGTAATTTTAGAGATTTCTGCAAGCAAAGGACTTTTCTACTTTTTAATGACTGGCACTACTGTGAAGGCCTGACCAGCTCCTAGCACCGTATTTGAAAATCTACTTGAAGAAAGTAATTCTCATCTTCTTTACAGTTCCATGTATAACTTGCAAGAGCAATTCGCAGCTTCTGTAGAAGCAGGCCTCAGAGAAATTGATGATCATAATTTTGAGGAGAATTTGGAAAATACATGCTTTAAAAACAATATATGGCAGCACTGACAACTAAAATCAAAGGGACTGTCTGATATGACCCTCTATAGCATATTTCAGCTACAGCAATCCTTCATCCACTGCAGATGTAAAAGCAAGCATGAAGGTCAGGCCAGGGGTCTTTTGCTTTGGGGCTTTTACATTTAAGCCTCCATCCAGAACTGATGACACTTCTCCCCTCAAGACAATGAAGAAGATGCTGGTGAAGAGCAGAATGAATGCCCTGATTTCTGGGCCACAGACTGCCCTGGGCACCCAGCACCTCCTACTGAAGAATCCAGTTGTCCTTAGTGCATATCCTAGCTCGTAGACTAGAGTATACATCTCTTGCTCTCTCAGTGTCTCAGTTATTCATTAACTATTTGTTCCAAGTGGAACAATTTAAGAAGAGAGATTATTTCATTTCAGGATATCCTATGAGCCACTTTAGAGACCTTGATTTAATTCACATCCTAAGTCCAAATAAGGTAAAGGATGGAGCTAATTTGTGTGACAGAATAATTTCTGGCTCCTTTCTGTTGGACAAATTCGTTCAGTATGTTCTGAAATCACTTACTGGTTTGGGCCCCACAGAGATGCAAGAAACACCTGGTATGCAACTTCTCAAGGGCTTGGTAGTCAAGTAGCTCAGTGTTGCCAAGATCTCAGTGATTATGGAAGAATGTAGGTAGTTGACAGATGTGTAGAGACTCTGAAGATTTCAATTCTGCTCTTTAAAGAAGTATGGATGATTCAGAAACTAGAAAAGAATACAAAAACTCCCGGACATCTTTCAAGTACATTAAGAGTGAGACCATCCTTTCTCTTCCTGTACTTCCCTATCAAAACTTCACTGACTAGTGTCACAAATTAAATTCAATATTTTATTCTAATTTAGCTCTTATTTTTATTAGCAAGGAGCCAAGTTCCTCTGGCTCATACCACCTACCAACAGATGTCCACTTTCTATGTTGAGGGAATTCTTCTGTCCTCTTAATCAATAGACAGAATAAAAATACTCTAAGTGTAATTGAGGTCTTATTCTAGATAGTAACTTTAACTTAGGCCAGTTCTCAGATGAACAAAATCACTTGAGAGTAAAACAGCTATCAATTTCAGTGTGTGAGTGGGAAATGTAGTTCCTCCCTAGCAAAATATGTCTCCAAAACACGTATCTGAGAAAGCCTCTCTCTGACAGTGCCTTGAGTCAGATGATGACTTCCATCAGAGAACTGCCTGAGCTCATAATGCAGTGGAGTACTGCAGGTTAGGTACCACCACAGTTGTTAACTTTGATGTTAAATTAGAAATAGAAGTTGAATTCCATAAATCAAAGAAAATGGCTTAGTCGAGAAGCAAGTATCTCCCTCCTTTAAACAAAACTGGACAGTGAGGTCTTGCACTTTTGATGTGGCTTGCAGGTATCCTTTTAACAAATGCAACAGACTACAAAGAAGAACGGCCTGTGTTGCTTATATTATTGCCTGATTGTTTCCACATTTTACTTAATAGATTTGCAGCCTTGTTGGATTACTTGTTGAAAGTAGTATAATGCAAAGCCAATATAGCATACAGGAAAAAGTAATATCAGTAATTGGAAATAAACTAAAAGGCTTGTTTTCTTAACTGAAAATTACTATTTATGAAATAGCAAGAAACAATAAATAGGTCACCAATGGCAAGCTACAAATGGCAAAAGAGAAAATGCTTCTTATTTTCAGCTGCATTTATGCAAGAATCTGTTCCTGCCTCAGTACTGTTCAACTGTGAATTTACTGACACTAAGCAATGAATATAGAAGCCTTCCAACTGCTAATTGTGGCTTACTATTTACAAAGTTTATTTATAAACTCATTTTCATGCAAGTATAAAATACTAATTCCATGGACAAATACACACTTGTTCACCACTCTAAATTATATACATTGTATTTGCATCTAATATTCAGAGAAGTGCAAAGTCCACAGTGACATAAATAACAAGTTTTGTAAACTATCAGATAAGCTCTCAAAAGGTATTAGTAACTGCATGATAACGTATCTGTTTTTGTATACTGCTGAAACGAAACCATTTTGCAGTAAAAGAACATACATTTCAGCTACATTCAAGTGATTATTTTATTACCATATATTACGTCTTACAAACTTTACTGGAGATGAGCAAGAGCACTACAAAACCATACCTTAATGCAAAAGGTGTATTTGTATGGTAAGTGCAGGCATAGCAAAGGGGAGACCAGAACTGGAAAGAATAACAAGCTAAGAAAACTTGTACAAAAATGAACAGTAATACTGACTAACACTGGGTTATAATCTTACTCATAACAGACCTGAAGGGCTAATAAAGATTGAATTTAGAAACATCTGTGCACTGTAGGTACAGTTTGGTGCAGATCAAGAGTGCACTAATACAGTCAACGTTGTACACATAAGATAATGCACAAAATACGCCGATATGCATCTAAACAACTAATTTGTTTACAGTAAGTAGGGCAGCACAGTTGTAGTACTGCGTCCTTGGCACTTAGTGATAGGACAACATGTATTTGGTTTAACTAAATTGATAAACAGGATATATACTGGTTTGTAAGATGAAAAACATACATTATCCCTTTGAACCGTCCAGTTTTACAACGTTACTCTAATTCTCAAGTTCAAATGCAAACATGATACACTAGCTGGATACGGAAGACGTTTCAGAGATTGGCTTAAAACAAGACATTCAATTTAAAAAAAGAAACAGAATAACAAATTAATTCAAGTTACATTAATTCTGTTACTAATGCCTTGTGCTGAAAACAAAATCTGAAACGTTAAAAAAACGCAAATTTGTAATTCAACCCACAATGTCTTCATCAGCTTTTCCTGAATGTTAATTGCTTCCTTTATGTCCCTTTCATATATGGTAATTTCACTTCAAAAAAAACTGCTGAAGCTATTCGTCTGAAAAGTTGTATATTAATTAGAAGTTTGGCTTAATATATCTTATCACACCACACAGAATTGAAGAAAAGATGTTCTTCTTCAAAGCAAGCATGTTTCAGCTATGAAAGGATTCCAATTTTAAGTGCTTGTCCTTATATTAAATAATATTTAAAAAGTCTGGAGGGAACCAATTTATTTTTGCCTGTTTTAAACAAACTGGCTAAATTGCCATTTTATATTATATATAACATGTAATAAAATTGTTCTTAACATATAATGATGTAACACTTTAAAATTAACTGGTTTAAAATATTTTACAAAGACATTTTATTATATATGAACTATACAACACACAAGAGTATGAAATATTTTGAACATATACACATTTACGTATTTTTCACGTAAATTATTATTTTGCACCAAACATTGGTGTCTGCAATTCTAACAATCCTCTCAGATAAACACAAAACAAAAAATGTTTCGTGGATGTGTTTTTTTTTTTTCTCTCAAAATAAAAACTATTACAAGGAGAATTTCTCTAATGACTTTTTTTGTTTCCCAATTTCATATTTTGTACAAAGCTTTTCAAATGGATCAACATACATAAAAAGAATAACCCCTCTGTACTTTCCAGTGCAATTTGCTAGGGATAAAGTTTACACCAAAACTGACCCTTTCCCCACTATGAACATTGAAAACTGCAGTCAAACTGAATGTCCATACCAATTGCTATTGAGACTCCTCTCCCCCTTATTTAAAATGCAATCCTTTTCAATATCCATTTTCATGACAGTATTTGCATAGAGCAGCCTTGTATTACTTCTAAAGAACATTATGAGCATTTTAACACAAGATAAGGCACATGTTTTTCAGCATTAATAATCTAAAACTAATCCTGAGGATCCGTTCCTTCCCCTCAGCAAAATCTGTTTTAATATACCCTGTATTTCCTGAAGAAAGCAGAAAAGCAGTATAGAATAAACCAAACCTGTTTAGCTGAACTAAATTCAGAACATTAGTAACTCCTGATAATAGTGTGACAAATCCACATAGAGAATTAAGTTATTCTCTAAACAAATTATCTTTAGAGGGGAAAAAAGATACAGCCAGTAGCACTGTAAATGTTAGACAAAATTCACATAATACGGATGACATTTATAGTGAGTTTACCTAAAATAAGCTCCCATCGGAAACAAGGTAGCTAAATTGTGAGGCACTTAAGGTTGACAAGAAAAGGAGGAATGCAAGGGGTTTGTTTCATAGAAAACCTGAAGTTGCATATCATATCCTTGTATTAAGCCTTCTATTAAAGTGCTAGAAATGGAGACTTAAAACAAAAGGATTTAAATATAAAATAAGTGATTAAAGAGCTTAGTATGCATTAAAATTAAGTGCTTTTGATTCTCATGAATTCATAACTTCTTAATAGTTTTTAAAAAATAAAGTCTGGAAATAATCCACATGTGAAATCATCTTCCTTGTGCCATTGACACTAGTTGTAAAGTGCCCAATTATTATTCTAAACAACAAAACCATTTGCCTTATCTTATGTTGTATAGCATAACATAGTCTGTAGTACATATGTAATCCATACTGCAATGACACAGTCCATCTAATGGAAAACAGAACATGCATACTTTTAGTCAGAAGTTTTAATTCCACCTTTCACTCTAAGAAGTCAGGTCTTGGATTACATATCCACCAGTATATAGTGCAACCAACCTTGTATTCTTAAAACAATTAAGTTGACAATTTAGCTGTCAATGTCTGATGCTCAAAGATAGACTTAGCAAGCTTTTTCTCAGAGTAGCCCGATTCCCAGACAAAAATCACAGATGGAGCTCTAGACCTGAATCACATAAATCCACTAGATGCCAAATCTGAGAAGGATCTGGGTTCTGTCGGGTGATGAAGAGGCTGAAGATGGGTGACAGTCTGTGTATTACTGATCACATCTAACTGAGAGGGATATGCTTCATTTACATTTCCTCCACTGAAACTGTTCTGGAACTGGCAAGGAAAAAAGACAATACAAATGGTTAGTATGGAAAACTGATTTATTTGTAAGTTTTTAAAAGTCCTCCTAAAGACACAGATTGGATGAAATTTTCTTAAGATGAATAGCTTTAAAACTTTTTAAAAATTATGAATAATAAGTTAATTTGCATTCAAAATGAGTCTGGATCATAAATGAAACTTACCCGTGTTGAAGTCAGTGGGAGTTCTACTTCTGGCTAAGTAAAGAAACATCACTATTACCTAAGGCATAATAGTTTCCCTTTTTAGGAAGTATAGTCTGACTGAGCACTCCAAATTTTCACATCCAGCTGTTGCATTTTAAAAGCAATCTATTTACATATTTTCATATCTGCAATGGGGTCCAGACTTTACAGCTCTTCCAGTAACGCGCACGCAGCCCTAGGCATAAGCTGAAGGGTACTGCATCTAATCTACAGGCTGAGCTGTCACAGGGTGGGCTTTTTTGATACATGGTTTTCATATTGACAGAATCACAGAATCACAGAACATTACGGATTGGAAGGGACCTCAAAAGATCATCTAGTCCAATCCCCCATATTGACAGTACCAAGAGCAATGAATGGCTTTCATCAGTCCTGAATTAATTGTTTATATGATTGTTTTAATCATCTGATGTAACATTTCCTATCATGCTATGCAAAAGTCACAATCTACAAAACGATCCATTTTTGAGCACATTCATTAACATTTCCAAGAAAGTTCTCAACACAGAATCTAGTAATTACCAAGGTTTCTCCAGTTTAATAAAGGAATACCAACCTTAAACAAGCAATCAAACTATCTAAAAACCTTTCTGCCCTTCTCCATCACCTAAATTGTTTTTAGACTACATTGGCTGTGATCCTACTGCAATTACAAGATCAAGGCAGATGACCACAACAGACCCTTCTGGCTTTCTAATCCCTTACTCTTTTCACACAGAAATCGATGGGCGTTAGAAGGCTGAGGAAAGGACAGCAAACGTGACTTGCGTAGCAACGTCTTGTCTGCTCTCCAGATTCCAACCACTGATAGGGATGTCAGCGTGCTAAATCCAGCCACAGAGACTGCCCTACTTTGGTTTGGCTGTGCGAACGTAGGCTCAGACAGCAGTATCCTATTTGCTTAGTTGCATCCTTACTAACGTTACCAATTAGCCACAAAATCAAACCTTAGGTTTTATTATCATAAGCAGTGATACATTCTCCCTATTTACAATAAAGAAATGTATATTATTTGTCACCATGGCTTTGGCACAGGTGATATTTTACAAGATTACTTCAAGTGCAGTAGCTATACTTCTGACCTACTAGTTAGTTCACGTATATTAAAGTCCTTAACTCCTCTGATACAAGACTAAATACAATCTCTGTAATATTAGCACATATAAATATATGGCTACCTTTCTCTGGAACAATGACATTTCTAGGTAAAAAAATGTTTCTACATTGAAACATTTCTCAGCATAAAAAATTTGGTTTACATCGAGCCTTACTTTGCCGTCAATCTATAAAAATGTTAATTGGCAGATGTGACCAGAGGTCAAAATTGAGTACAGTCTGATACAAGAGATGGGTTTTTTCCATGTGACCAGTATATAGCAGTATGGGCTGCAAAAGTCAATGCTATTTGGTTTAGAAAAGAACAGTCTTTTCCCACCACTCACTGTGCTCAGTTGGCATGCATAAGTTTTGGACCCACAAGTACTTGGAGATAGATAACAGCTACCTACAATCACTCCTTTACAAAAGAGTTGGGGTAATAATCCTTCCTTATCAAGAAGCATGCTCTACTTTTAAACTCATTTGGATAAATGGTCAGCAGTTCTCTTCAGAGGTAAACAGGAGCTAAGGTGCACAAGGGTGACACCAGTTCTGCACTAGGCTTCTGCTCATGCAATGCTATCCAGATCCACACAGCACCGGTAGACCACAGCAAGAGGGGCTGAATTTGCCTCTGAACAACTTAAGTAATAATAACTTTTCTCAAAGTGGCTTATGTTCATTTTTTTTACAATGAACAAACTAAATGCAATATTATTATTGCAGCACAGCATTCTAGTAAATATGAAGTATGAGATGTATTCATTTATTGCATTCAGAGTTACTGTCTTGGTCATTAAACTTTTTACAGATAGATGAGAAGAAAAAGCAAGCAAGAAAATAACAAAAAGGAGGTGTAACAAAAACAATTAAGGCAGCATAACAACAAAATAATCTACAAAATAAATGTATTTGAAACCAACAACTAAAACGAAAGAAACAGAATAGCTTATACACGCTGGCTGTTCAAAACTGACGTTCCACATTAGTACAGCTTTTGTGAGAAGAGCAATTTATACCATTACAGGGACAAACTTGGATGGCCCTAGAACTGCTTTACAACTCTGTTATCAAGCACTATGAGGGACTAATAACACTGACCACAGCTAGGCAACATTCAGTCAAGCACTGTGCAAGCTTGTGCACTGCAGTTTGTCAAAGTCACTTCATGCTATTTCAGCCCTTGGGCATGGAGGCAGAAGCTATTCATCCTAAAACTGAACTGTCCTATATTTTAGCTGAATTTCTGTAATTCTGCAATTATAATTTTTCTACCAGTGAAACAGTTTTAAAAAGGATATGTCTTGTATCTTGCATACTGAAAAATTTGGCATGTTCTACTTGCATTCCTCACCTCTGTCTTGTGCAGGTTAAATGCCAATTAATACTTTAATTCTGTAAATGCTTATGCATGTGCATAAGCATTTGTAGGATCAGTCCTTTAGAATATTAACTCACTGAGGTAACAAAAAAAAAAAAAAAGAATTGTGGCTCTGTACTTGAGCAGCATTAACAGAAATAAATGGTACAATTTAAAGTGCTTCAAGAAAGGTTATTCAGAATCAGGAACGGCCTTGGTAATTGATTTTTTTTAAAATTTCTATGTTAATTTTACCTATGAAGAATTGTGCTTAAAACCGTAGTCTGTGCTACAGCAAGGTTCCTCTCTTCTACAGCTTTTATTGTGCATTCTCCTCAGTACAATGTGAAGAGGGTCCACCTAATCTACTGAGAATATAATTTTTTTCCTGCTCTTTTGTCTTCAGCAGATGATTTAGACAGCAGCATCAGGAACGAGGTGACTTTCACTTATAGCAATATGCAAAAATATTTTTGCAGTGTCATCATGTGTAGAATTCAATAGTTCATAGTGTTCTATGCTATTTATGTGATATTATAAACTGATACTTTAAGCAATCCTAAAAATCATCAAAGTGTGAGTAGCTAGATAACACTAATTTTAAAAACAAAATTTTTTTTCTGGATCCTTACAACATATTTCATGAAAATGAATGTGCCAGACAGTATTACTGACATCATTCCACTCCTCTAAAAAAAGAGGTATAGGGGCAAATGCCAAGCTTTTGACCAATCTGTTTTTCCTTTGCTCCTGCTAGGAAAATTCCTGGTAGGTACAACAGACCAGTCCACTCCCTCTTGCTTTAATACTGCCAGAGAGCGCTACCAGGATATGAATACATTTAGACAAAAACTGGACCAAATGCAACTCTCTCCAATCTAATGAACAAATAAAGCAAGGACATTCACATGCTGCTAACACATCAGTTTCAAACTCAGAGACTCAATTACGACAAACTGCATCCTGGTAGCCACCCAAAACAATAAAAAGCACAATTCAAAATGCAATACAATGTAACAGTGCTGTTTACCTTACCTTGTTCAACAAGGTTTGCTGACTTGCCATCGTAGGATCATACTGCATTTGCTCCACCCTGCTGGGCTGTGCTTCCTGCGTGCACTGGTACATAGACACAGCACCTGCATAGCATGTTTGAGGAGTTAGCATGACCGACTCAGAGTTTATCCCGCACTCACGATTTTCAGGTACTTGCTGCAAACAGTTGAGAAAATCCTCCAAGTTGGAAGAAGCAGAGTAGGCTGACCTGTCAAAACCCGCTACAGGGAAATCCATTTGAGAAAAATTTGAAAGCTGTGGCATCATTGCTGTGGGTTGCTTGTAAGGAATAAACTCTTGCCTACACACGTAAGGGGGGGTGTTTACTTCTGATTTGTAAGAGAACTCGGATGTAGTAGCATGCACGCCAGGGAATACATATTGCTGGGGCTGCTGCTGCGAGCAGCTAAGAGGCATGCTGGCGCCAGAGCTCCAATTTGTGAACATCCCATTGACTTGCATATGTTTCATCTTATGACAGAGCTGCTGCTGCTGTTGCTGTTGCTCCAAGAGCTGTTTCTGGTGCTGATGAAGTTGATGCGGATCTAACTCTTGCTGTACCAAGCAACCTTCTTTCTGGACCAGGGGTTGCTGCTGATTAGAGCCTGAATACAAGTAGTCAGGCTTATTTAAGGAATCCTGAACATAAGTCAGGATTTCCTCAGTTATGTCGATGTCCTCAATATCATCCACACCAGATAATTCAGTTTTAAAAAACTCCTCATCCTGCTGTATACACTTTAGATCTTCAAAGTCAATGCCCAGATTTTTCATGATGCTGTACAAATCACTGTTTTTGTTATCTTGAAAGAGTGCTGCGCTGTCATCAGGAAGTGGAAGGTTACTAAGATTACTATCCTGGGAACACTCCATTAGCTCCCGTTTGAGAACGCTGTGATTTCCAGCAGGTCGGAGATTATCTGTCCAGCCACTGCTGCCAACACTGCTCAGTTCATCCCTGCTGTCTGCAAAGAAGTTTCGCTCAAAGGAAAGTTTATGTGACGCAGGAGGGCAGAGATACACAGACTCATCTTGCCTTAACATGACACCTAGGAGAGAATTTGGATCCACAGAATCACTGTGTTGCACTGCTTTGGCTCCTTTTCCCGTCGTGCTTTTATTCTTCAACTGAGAGGGATCCATCAGGCTCGACATAGGAAAAGACACCTCATATAACACAGCCTCACCAGTGGCAAACATGAAGGGCAACTTCATGTTACGTTTCCGTAGATGTTCTGCCCCTTCTTCATCTCTGAAAATAAATCAGATATATAGCATAATAATGCAGTACTAAACAGTTACTGAAATCTTTTTATACCCTGGAATTAATAAAAAAACCTGAACTATTCTATTTGTAGGAATTTTTCAAATTCCTAGCTATTCCAGCTCAACTTGGCTGAGTTAAACCAAGAGGCAGATTATGAAATAAGGAGCTTATGACTGTAATACCACCTTTACATATTACATTTGTAATTAAATCTAGATAACATACACCCTTTTCTGTGCATTATGAGCTGAAATGAAAATAAGTGTGCTTTGTTCCACGCATTATGTTTTTCTTGGCATAGCAAGTAAACGAATACTTCAACAGTGATTTCTCTTTTTCTCTATTTTACAGACTCTCTAGCAACAATTATTTAACTTGAACAATAATGCTGAATTCCATATTATGCAGAATATATTTGAGCACCATAAAGACTTAATATTTTTATGTTACCTGTTGTTTCTTCTACAAAACTGCAGTTGAATTTCTTAATTTTTGCTTATGGGAATAATGAATTAAAAATAGACTGGATAGAATAACTTGGTGCTTGTACTGCTGCTCTTATTCTTTACATGAAAACTAGATGTCTTTAAGTTTTACACATAAAGGACACTGTAAGAACTGAAATATCAGAATTCTTTTCAATGTTTGTTAGCAAATTGAAAGCTGTTTTCCTTTTCGAGTTCAGGTTTTAAAGGGGGTTTATTTAAAAATAAGGAATTAATTTCTGAATATAAACCATTTCAAAAGTGTTCAGTTTTTAAAGTACACTGCCTTATGCGATGAAGACTTACGTAAGAGGTCTTTGCGTTGCAATGATGTAATCTGGTCTTCCATTTTTGTAGACAAGACGTGCATTTGCCTGTAGCCAGGCCCAACGATTTTCTTTGGTTAGAAGCCTAAATACAGTCATTCCACTCTCACCTGTCTTCATCACTAGAGTTAAAGAATAAGCACACCGTTTACTGTCCAGTGAAGAAAAATAGGAAAACCTGACATGTCATGAAAGTAATCCCATTTGTAGAGCAATTTTACAAATCTCATGTCCTCAATCACCCATTTCTGTGCAGCACTAATACATTCCTAGTCAAACAGGATGATTGATCACCTTAAGATGCCTGCTTTAATTTACTAGTAAAATAAAAGCCAAAACTGCAAGCAATTGTAAGATACCCTCCACAGATTGGCAACATCTTATATGGAGTTTCATCCATTATTTATGCAATGACAGGAATTAATAAATACTAGAACATGTAAATGACAAAAGCCCAAGTCTCTTTTACATCGAAAAAGTGGCTATTACATAAGAAATTAGAAAACACTTCAGCTCTGAATCCAATTATTTCACATTTTGACTGGTTAATGCAAAGGTACGTCAAAATCCATAATTTTTCACTCCCACTATCACCTCACTAGTAATGCTTAGTAACGCATACTGTATTTTCGTTGTACAATGTCGAAAACACTGCATTTCTAGACAGAAAAAAAATAAATAAAAAATACTAGTAAAGTTTAAGAATCCTAAGCAAAAATAATCTTGGCTAAAAGACTTTTTTTTTTTTTTTAATTTTAGCATCAGAAATTGCTAAATCTTTGAAATAGTCCCTTTGCCCAAAGGAAGTTGTTGAATAGCATAAGTTGGGTTGAGCAGAAAAGGAAGTGAGAAGAGCAAGATGTGACAGAAACTGGAAAGGTCTAGATACGAATATTAAACATTTCTTCATCCAGTATAAGTTTTTATAGGGAGGGAAATAATACATGAAATGAATAGTGTTCCTTTTGTTCACAACCACTTTTTTCTTTTAAAGAGTACTTAATAGTATTTTTTCAGTACGAATATAATCCATGCTTTGATTTTTCAGCCTTTCTTAGGGAATGAAGCTTACTTCGGACGTGATTTTCAGCACAATAAAGCATATCAGCTGCATGAATGAACTGGTATCCTGTTCCTCTCATACACAGCTCTGCTTCAGTATATCCAAGGACAATCTTTCCTCTGGAAGGTAAAAACAAAAAATTGCAACACTGCTGATGAACCAACACCCAGAACAAATGCCAAGCAAGTTAATTATGGCTAGAAGCTTTCAGATGCAAACACTAGCTACATTTTGTTGCAATATCAACTGTATGCAGAAGCACAACAGTTCTAACAAAAAATACAGTTAAAAATCATAAAATTTTTACTAGTCCCCCAAGTTGCTTTCAGTGACCACGAATGTGTTCACAAAATTATTCAATCATTAAAAAAATAAAAAGAGTATGTCTACAGTTCAGCTGGACTCTTAATTCCATACTTCTGAATATACTCACAGCACACAGCTCCTATTTGTTGCAATGAAAGACACTGCTTAGCCCTATTTCATAGCATTTACCTATAGGTGCTTGCATGTAGAATTAATTAGGCACTTAACTAAAGTTACCTAAAACATCTTGCCTAAATTAGTATTTTTAGTAGTTTAAAATTCAAACCAAGATGTATCTCAGAACTACATTATTTTTACTATTGAGTGGTTTGGGACTCCTGTGTTTGCATTTAAGCTAAGAAATGCCTCAGAAGAGTACTGACAATAGAGTCATGTTTGATCCTGGTAGCTAAAATTAGAGTATGTTACTAGAGGGTCAGGTAGATTAAGAACTTAACAGTGAGTGCTGTGAGATAAATGATAGGATTAAATAGTCAAAAAGAGACTGAAACAGGATTTGAACAAAGAACCCAAGTTTTATAGAACCCAAGTAAAAACATTTTGGTTTATCAATAGACAGGTTCAGACACTACATTACTCCATAAGTAGGCATGGAAATCCATATTAGAGATTCAACTGAAAACGAGACTGCATGCTGAAAGCATTATCAGTCAAAAACAGGAGGGAGGAGAGAAGGAAGGAAGGTGGTCAGAGGCTTTTCTTTAAATAAAGAAATATCTTAATGGGCTTCTTGCCATATTGATGAATAGTTATGTTATGTTGATCTAGTAATGCAATAGTGTTTCCAGTTTTTATGCAGGAAAAAGAATATTTTGGAAACTGGTGAAAGTTATGCTATAAAAAAAGACTTTATTTGTTTATTTTGAATTAAATAACATTTCCATTATGTTTTATCTCTATTTGAACTGAAGGAGAAACTAAGCATGTAGAACGAAATGAACCACTTGTTCTATCAGTTTTAATACCATATTTCAAACTGATTTAAACACTAAACTTTTGTTCTTCCCTAATTCATTAGTATCCTGTCTTTTGGGGTTTTTTGTACTGTTTTGGGTTTGGGGGTTTTGGAGCTTTTTCGGTTGGTTTTTTTTAATGACTGAGAGTCAGAAAGCAATACGCCCTTTCAAGGAAGTACACTGTAACAATCCCATTTCTCTTACTAGCAGGGCTGAAAAGAAAAATCCTAACTGTTTTTGAACAACCATCAGTATCGACTGAAACACTAACCAGTTTTAGGTTTCAAATACATACTTGAAACCTATCTCATCAGCAAATGATTATAGCATTATGCAGAAAAATTTACACATACTTTGCATCACAGCCAGTAGGTGTGAAATCCAGTTTGTGTTTAGTTCTGAAGATGAAGTTTTTGGTTCGTATCTCAAGGATAGATGGTGGCTGCAGTGGAGTTGCTACAGCAAACAGAGCGAGCTGTGGAGACAAAGTAGCACCATCCTTCCCTTTCTTGTTTTGTCCGTGGAGAAACTTTAATCGTCCTTGAAAATTCATAGCCTTAGGATGAGGAAAAAGTAACTGGTTTATGTTGGGAGATATTTAAGAGTCAGATATTTCTGTTACAATGTGAAACATCCTTTTTTTTAATTTAAGATCCAGTAGATTTAAGCTTTGTAGCATGGCGTACACGAAAGCTAGCTAACAAGTACAGAAGTTGTTGTACCCATGAACATGTCATTTAGAAGTCTACTAACAAACTCACTAGAAAAAGAACTAATGGGAAGGTTGTTTTGTCAAAAAACCCCATATAGTAGCAAATGCTAACTGTATCTTCTAGTATAACATTATGCATACATACAAGTAACACGACTATCTTGCATTTCTGTCAGTCATTAATATAAAGTATGTAAATGTGTACAATTCAAAATCTTTTATAGGCAATTCTTTTTGTAAGAAGTCACTTAGAGGCTGATAAACCCATATTATTTCTTTTAAAATCTACAGTATTGACAAATAAAAAGTGTATTAAAAAGAGCAAGCACAGACATTCCCACATAAGGGAAAAATCATAGTTCTGTTAGCTATTGTAACTTAGTGCATTTCAAAGTACTCAACAGACTATATGATCCTTGTGGTCCCTTCTAACCTGGTATTCTATGAAAATAATCTTTGTAATGCTTTTTATCCATAAATCACACAGTACTTTACAAAAGCAGATGCTTATTTATAATTCACAGAGGAAACTGAGCCATGAGAAATGAGGGAACTTGCACCTGGTTGTAACAACATGCTGAAGGGGAACCCAGCAATACAATCTTTACTTGTCATTTAGTGTCACTAACTGAAACATACTGGTTCAAGCAGCTCACATACCTACAGAGACTTAACAAATAAAGTAAGTTGCTGTATATATTGTAGGGATAATGCAGATTTCTAACTTGCAAGCATGTCTAGAAGTTTTTACATAACTCCATACTCACCAAGAACCCAGAAGAATTATCTAGGAGGCATCGCAACCTGCAGATGAAATTCCTTTCCATAAAGGAAGAATTCTCTGGAGGAAGTTGGTCTGGGTCATAATAGGTTGCTGGCTGTGAAAAGCCATTATCTCCTACAGGAAAAGATTATTTATAAGGATTATTTTTAGAAGAACACCTAGTGAAGTCTATCTTATAACAAATCACCTTCCGTCTCATAAACAAAGCGTTAGGTCATGACCTGAGCAAGAACAATGAAAACTGGAAACATCCTCAGGACCTGCACTCATTATAGCATTGTGGTTGAGTATCTGTTCTTCTGATGGGATCTTGTCTCAAAGGCTATGGTATTTGAAAACTGCATGTAATTTGTATTTTATTTTTAAGTTTGTTGTTTGGCTTGGTTGGGTTTTTGTGGTTGTTTTTGGTTTTGTTTTGTTTGGGTTTTTTTGATTTTTTTTTGTGTTTTTTTTGTTTTTTTTTTTACTTATAGTAACATGTATCTTTGCCTACATATTTAAACAACTGTTGTGCAAAATGGAGCATTACAGATGTCTCAACAGATTTGTCATTATCACCAGGCAGGCATATGCTTCCCGTATTACACGTAAGTGTCTGTATCAACACATCCCTGTTCCAATATGTAAGTAACGTGTTTCTCAAAATAGCAGGTCACTTAAGCATCAGTCAATAACACACAACAATCTGATGCAATTAAAGGCTCATCTATTTAATCTTTTACCCCTTTTACCTTTTTACTCCCAAGAGAAGTACTGGTCTACGTGGCAAACTGCGTGTAACAGTGATGAGTAAAATTCTTCCATGACCAGGAACCTGCTATTCCAAATAGTAACACTGTAACTATGACATTCTTAGTCATGGATTGGATCTACTAGCTTGAAGAGTTTAAATAAGCTGTAGTACTCAATTGTCTGCTGACCTTCTTAAGCTAATAAATTTGGTGTCATGATCTGTATCCAGGAGTAGCACATGTAAAAGAGAGGTCATTACTTTAGAGAAATCACTTTCTTATTCAAACAGTGATTAAAGACAAGCCATATAATTGAGGGCAAACACAGAAAAATAAAACTTCCTTGTTTCTCATGTCACCAAAAGAAACTGTCCTCTTCTCACTGCCCTGTTTGCAACATAAACCAAGGCAGAATTACCTGCTTTGCAATTTATCACAGGACTACTGATCATTCAGTCATCTATGCTCCAAATTAAAGCCTTCCAATTTAAAGCAAAATTACTGTTTTAATGGTGCTGTGCTATGAATAGCAGTGCCTATTTAAAGTGGGGAAAAAAACGGTAATTCCCATAGTTGGCTAAATATACCCATAAAATTCAAATAAGTTTAAAAGATGTTATTCCTTTCTTTGGCCATGTAAAATAATCTATTTTTTTTTTAAGAAAATTTTTTTTAAAAAAACAGCAAGCAACTGATAAGTCAAACAGATAAGTTGGCTGCATCCTCACCTTGTACACCTGGTCCAGAGTCTGCAGACTGCGCAGGATTTAATGCCCAATGTAGCTGTCGTTGAAACTCAGGTCTGTCTTCTGTGTGAATCAATTCAAATACGCTCTGGTGTATAATATCAGACTGCGTACAAAAAAGGAAAAAGGTGGGAAACAATGAGAATAAGAAACTCAATATGACAATATGATACAAGTCGTCTGGTTGACAACACGGCTACGGACACAGCAAAATCAATTTTGCTCGGGGATAAAAGCATACATTTGCATGCATGTGGGAAAGCTTCACAAAACCATTTTTAGCAGAACAGAGAAGTCTGTCACAATCATGATTACAAACATGAGAAACAATAATAAAAAAGTATTACCTTAGGGAAAAAAAACACCATTATGTCAAGTATTATTTTACCTGCTTTTATTTAAGCAAGCCTGGAATTGTTATGCTTAGCTTTTGTTTAAATAATTAAATTTTACATACTGGTACTTTGACCTGACCCATTATAGATGCTACAGGAACAGAAAAGAAGCCGAAGACCTGAATCAAAAAACTTCCTAAAGTAAGAGGTAGATCAAGAACATCAGTTTTGTTTGCCTGAAAGCTTTGTCACTTCTTAAGGATGCATTAAAATCTGTAATTATTAAGCTTTCATATCACCACCAGTTGCATGGCGAGGAATGCAATCTTAACAGCAAAGCTACAACAGCCAGGATCAGTGTTGAAAGAAATTAAGAAGAAAAAAAACCCAACACTCAAAATAGTCAAGAAAAGTATCAGTCAACTGAGAGGAGTTAAATTCCCTGTTCTCTGCATGAAAACCCAACCATTATATAAACAGAAAATATTTAAATAAAATATAGATCTAAAGAAATTAAGATGAGCTGGCAAAAGCAGAAGGCTAGCTCAAATTTTGCTTTGATGAATTTTATAAAAGAATCAGTATTTTCCAGAATAAATTGCCAGAAGTGCTAATTTTTGTAACTTTTAAGACTTCACTTCATGCACTTGATTTATTGGCATTACTACATAAATTTTATGCCATTTTTTTTTCCAAGCTTTTTTCTTCCTTCCCCAGCACTGAAAAAAACCTGTAACCCAAGGAATAATAATGTTTTGTGTGGATTATTTTTTTTTAATGCAAACATTCCAAATTCTCTTATGAGTTAGCTAAAAATGCAGACCAAGCAAAGTTTCTCCCTATTTTTAGACAGCAACTGAATCTATCATCCAGTACCCAAATATATAAATTTATAACTATAACTAAGCTTTTCTCATCTTAACATAAACTAATCCCAGGAGTTCTCTAAGAAAGGCAATGTGTGCCAGCTGAGTCTTGGTCTTTACTAGTTTGGTACCTTCCTTGCAAGCTCAAGGAAGTTAGTCATACATGATCTGCACCATAGATTGTAAATAACAAATGCTTGTTTTGAAATAATTAAATAAATAAATATGAGTGAGACAACACTAAAATTCTAAAAATATGAAAAATCACTCAGTTGATACTTAAAACTTCAAGGCACATGGAGTTAATTTTGTATGAAAGGTTTCTATTAAAATAATTACCTTCCCATTGAATTATGTCTCATCCACCATCATAAACTGGGTAACACCACAGTATAAATTTCAAACAGTTGTTCCAGTAAAGACTAATTAAGTGTGAAAATTTCCTATCTTGCCTAACTCAAATTTGGAAATTGCATACCTGCTGTGCTTGGCCTGAGGTTCCATTTCAGCTACGTCAGCTGGTAGAAAAGCTATATAGTTTCAAAATAATCTAACCCAAAGTACCTAACAGATTCTTATTTCACAAACTATCAGACCCTAAATATGAACACTGATGCCCTCTGAAATTAAGCAAAATCTCTGCAAAAAAAAAATAGAGAAAAAAATAAACTTACTTGTTGGAACCCCAAGTAGTCTTGGATAGTGGAAGAGACGTAAAAGACCAGAGCATCGGCTGTAACAACTAATACAAAACCATTTAATGCCTAGGGAGGAAACACATGAATGCGTCAGCTTCAGAGACAAAATTCCAGTTACTGTGGCTGTAAGCCTACCTATATCCTAGTCTCCCAATAAAATGAGAAGCATGCAAAAACATATCATTATCTAACAGCATAAACAAAAAGATTCTTCACTGCATCTCTACAGTATAAGTGGAACAATGAAGAAAACTGCATCTAATGAAAAAAGAAGTTCTTTTGGAAAATTCAGGGGAGAAGCCAAAGCCTGTTGATAATTTTTAATTACTCTTGATTGTAGATGAGAGACAGATGAATGAAGTATAGGTTTATCTAACATCAACCATAGTTCACAGTGATTGCATGGCTCAGACCATGGTATACCCAGTTGCCCACAGCACAAACAGGAGTTGTGTCACAAACCAATTCCCAAAATCTGGTCTATTCATAGTGCAGACGGGCCTAAGTGGACAGGAATTCAAGCAATCCAAATCCTCTATATAGTCTAAAAAAACCATTTTATAGCTTAATTAAAAATAGAAAACCTCTGCACAAGCAGACTGTTGCAAGTAAACAATGTTTTTGAAGATATTTCCCCCTGTGAAGCAGCAGACTGAGCGGCTCCTTGCTCAAAGTCACACAAAGGGCATTTATCTGAACTCCCAATCAATATGGTTCATTGCAATTGTTGTGATAGCAAACAGTACATTTGTGACTTGGCAGCTCATCTGAAAGGTGTTGATTTACTGCTACGGATTTCAGTCAAGTTTTAACAAAAGGCTGTCTCAAGGGACTGGATTAAGTATATTGTGCCACTTAATTTCCTCAGCTGCATTCAAAGTCAAATTTGTCCAGCACACCTAAAATACATTTAAAAAAAATTATTATGCAAAGTTATTGTAACATAAAAAAATGTAAAGTAAGTGAAGGATATCCCATATATTACTGTAATAACTTCATATATTTTTATTATAAACTAGCATTATTCTTTCACAAACATTAACTCCCATAGCCTCATACTATCGTAAGCACCACCGTTACTTTTCCATACGTTGCAGAGGTATGGTTTTACTATTTCTTGTTCTTTTACTATTTGGTCTAATTAAGTCAAGTTAAATATCCGATTAAATGACTGGTTCTTAAATGCCATGAACCACTCCTTTTTAATGTGTAGACATTTCGAAATCTATTATGAACAGTTGTGAGCTCTATAAAAACTCCTTACATAAATTTAATAAAATTTACCTGGATACAGTATGAGCTAAGAAAAAATTAAGAATAATCTGAAATTCAACAGCATAGCCAATTCAAGAAATCTTGAGTAGTTACATAGAATCCTTGGTTTTGATTAAGTTCACAGAAATTCTAAGGGAGCAGAATGCTGCAATGGCAGGTGCTTGTGTCCTCTGCTGACCTATTCTGCAGGGCATTTCACCTCAAGTGGTTGATGTAAAAAGTCTGCAAGCTGCACAGTATCTAATTCTGGCCCACATGTTAAAATTTGTTATTCTGCTCTGTTTCATACAAAGCTGTGTACAGCTCACTCCTGTACCTGGAATTCAATCATGTTTTGCAGTGGCTCATCTTGAAACAGAATTGTTATTGCAAAAATCAGATGCCTTCTGTAAGCCAAAAATTCTGTAAAATGCAAGTTGTTTGCCCAAAAATCTAATGCAACAATTTACTGGAAGTTCCTTAAAACATGCAGGTGTCTAGGATATAGCAATAAGTGAGAGATCAGTTCTGAAGGAGGTTTTGTCAAAATGCCATTCTAAAATCATTATCTTTAAAGGCACAATGAAATTTTTCGGTGAGTTTATTATTCTGGAGCATTGGAGATAATATTCATGTTTCTGCAAAAAAACTCTCAATATTCCTAATACAAAGACAATTACAAAACTGTTCATTACTGCTGAGAACTAGGAAGTTTCAAAAATTTCTTAGAGGTTGTTATCTGACTTGCACTTCATATAAACTTGCTTAGAATGTACTAAACTATGTATCTAATAAGACTGAAATAATTTAAACAATTTTAAAGGCGCTATAGATGTGCCTTCCTTAAAACTAAGCTATGTATTTGATCTCTACTTCCACAATATATTAAATGAGTAAGATAGTTTCTATGTTGGAAATTAAAGACAATTTTCCGTGTGTTAGGAAACAAAAAACATCTGATCAATGAATAAAAACAAATCTAAACAATGTTAATAATCAGTTGTAATTTATGGAAACCTATGTGACATAAAAGACTTCTGAGCTTAGGCATAAGGGAAGGAGATATTCCCCCCCCCCCCCCAGTGTAAATATTTGTATAATATATGCACTGCAAAACATACCTGCAGCAGGAGTTCTCCTTCCAGGATCTGCATTCCTTCTCCATGTTTAGCTGTTCTACAGTTTTCCTGAATGCCATTTCTTTCTGGTCTTGTAGAGTTAGAAGATTTCAATGCAACTAGAAAAAAGAAAGAAAAAGGTTAAGTGGTATTTGAAGGACTTACTAGAAATTTATTTGATGACATGTAATTTTCTGTAAGAAATAATTACATTTAAATTGCTTATAAAGTCAATCTAATAAAAGATCTGTTTTAATGTCAGACTTTTCCCCTAGCTTTAAAGAGAATCCACAAATTTGTCATTCATCTCCTTTCTAAACAATACTTTCACAACAGAATCAGTAGTATTGAAATATTATCATTATTTTATTCCTTTTTTTTTCTCCATCTTCCTTAAGACTCATTTTTAGTTTGTCACTTTTATTAGCAAAGGACATGTTCGTTTTCATACAACAACCTCCTATAACCTGGTAAGAACTCTGCTTTATGGTATGACACTTACCCTAATTCTTATCTCATCTAATTTCAGACATCAAACTATGGTATTTCAGATATATACCTGGCTCGAGACCTAAAGGTCCCTTCAGAGAAAGGAGGGAAGGACACAGGAACCCTAAATGCATATTGAACATCAATGAAAGCAAATTAAAGAAAGGTATTTCAAACAAAAAAGGCTTTTATTTTTTTCTGCCATTGTTAAATTTTAACCATTTAAACAATTATCAGACTTTCCAATTTTAGATAAAATACTGTAACCATGAATCATCATTATTCAGGTCACAAATATATCCAACTGAAAGAAAAATATTACTCAATGAGTAAGGAATAAAGGATCAGAACAAGCTGCTACAAAGTACCTGAAAGACATACCACCTAATCTCTGCACTGTGTCTTCTAATAAACAGGATGCTGTCAAGTAAAACTAAACTGTCAAAGATTTTCCTGTATTAGGTCTGGCTGAGACAGAGTTAATTTTCCCCAGAGCAGCCCACATAGTGCTTTGTATTTGTAGCTAGAAAGGTGTTGATAACACACATCTCAGCCAGACCCAATACATGTCCTTAACTCAGAATTTATCTACTTTCCACACAGCTCTAAAAAGAAAAAAAAAAATCGCCAAATCTGAAATAAGTTTGAATGGGTCTGTAGTGTCTAAACAGCTTAGAATTACTTAATTGTACCTTAAAACTTTACCATAAAAGTTAAGCCTCCTTCCCAAACCCAAAATTTCTGAGCAAAGCAAGGGAAATTTATAAAAGCAACTGCACTTCTGTAAAATACCAACAGTTTCTCTCATAACAATGAGATATTCATCCTAAATTCCAAATTATTTTCCAACCTCCTGAAAACCTTCATTTTTCAGCTGCTCAGAAATTTAGTCAAGAATCCTAGAGAACTCTTGTTCATTAACTTTTCAACTAGGTTAACTGATATTTTACACTAAGTATATTAACTGAAAGATAAATTATGCCTTTCAGGTTTTCGTGGTTTTGTTGCTGTTGTTGGTTTGTTTTTTTTTTGTTTTTGGTTTTTTTTTTTAAGTTATCACCGCAGCTAACAACTTTCAAGCCAGACAGTTTTCATTAAAATACCCCTCAAAGGCACCGCAGAGGAAAAACATGTTCTAAAAAGATATTAACTGATTAATCAGTCAGGAATTTATCTGAGGGTTTGCTTTGAAATTAGAACCTTAATGCTCTTCTTCCAACCAGACAGACAAAAAGTCCTCTAATAGGCCACACAGAGTTGCAACTGCAAATTAATTTTAAACTCAAGTGAGTGGAAAATGTAGCAATATTTTTCCCTAAGCATTATTTTAAAAGGATATCTAGAACATACACTAAAACCCACTGAAGTCCACTGGCAGTAGAGGGAAACTTATTATCCTTTTAATTTAGATTGTACGATTATAGAGAAAGCCCACATTCAGCTTTGGAAATTGCAAGTAAAGATATGTAATCATGCCTGCCATTCTGAAAAATACAGCCTACACACTGGTACGGCTATATTGCCCCTAACTTTCAAAGCATACGTATACATACATATTTTGCTGAACTGGAACCTACAACTTTTGCAGAAATCAGAACATGGATGAAGTCAAGCTGTTGTAAACTGAGACAGATAGAAAATTGCTGACAATCTGGGTTGAAAAAAAAATGGAAGATACAGTAGAAGTTACAGCTATATACATAATTGAGTGTGCATAACTACTGAAAAAAAAACCCCACCAAATTTACTTTGGTCTGACAGATAAATCAGAGGCTTGCTAGTGCCTGCTACAAGCCACTCAATAACTGGAGTTTTTCCCTCAACACTCATCGGTAGGGTGAAGAGATCACACTACAGGGGACTTCATATTCTGAGGCTTTGGAGATGCATCACTAAGTGACAGCTCTAAAACACCTACAAACTTTGAAAGACTAAGTTGGAAAAAGGTTAACTGTTCCAGGTATAGAATGGAACATTTTTATCATCCCTCTTCTCAATAAAAGGGCATAAAAACTGAAGTGCAGATATTGCTTAGGTAGGTGTGGTCTTCCATTAATTTCATAAGAACTAAATTCCAATTATTAAAAAACCCCTCAATTTTGTTTAGCTGGTACTTGAAAAAGTCAATTTCACAAAAATCAAATCAGCCAGAAGCACATAATCATGACAACAAGATTGGTTTCTTGTTAGGTAGAAGTGATAAAAATATAAATAATAATGTAGAAAAAAACCCAGGAAAGATAACCAAATATTTCTATTTAATACTTCTGAGAATAACAAGTGAGATACTCACATTTCACTATGAAAGTCCTTTTAGTCCAACAGAGCTATACAGAAGTGACTGAACACGGATATTTTAGATCAACAAGACTTAATAAATTTTAGTCAAGACTTTAAAAACAGCTTAATTTCTTACATGGGAAACAAGACAGTGGAATGGAAGAAACAGAACTTTGAATAATAAGTATTTAAAAGAAGGTAGTATTTAAAATAAAAATCAAAATCAGTATTCAAACCAAGTAAAAACTTTACTAAAGGAATTATAAATGTAAGATGCAAAGTTTACAATGCTAATATAACTAAGGTATGGTACTTACCAGCCCCATGTGATTAAACTTCCTTGTCAGTACTCTTCAAGCAAACATTAAAAAAATATCACTAGTAAAATTTTACGTTGATCAAAATACAATGAGAGTAACAGGGACAACAGAGGTCCCTAAGACCAAGCAGCCCCAGCTACCTGGATGCAAACTTGCAACATCTGGCTCAATATAGTCAAATTGAGGCTGACCAGATCCCAACAAATGCTGGCCTTACAGTATGGGAGGGTCATCTTGTGAAGAAGTAATTCCAAAAAGTCTTAGTTGCAATGCTGCGGCCTCGGAAATACCAGCTAGAGCTACAGTAACAGATGATGATAAGGAAAACTAAAGCTAAAAAGGGTAATTCATCCAAAGGTAATATTACAGTCAACATCACCTAGTTTAAAATCAGCCCTATATTCTGCTACTTCTCATAGACTGTCACTCATGTCATCAGACAAAATAAACCCAATAGTTCATTGCTTTATAATCTCTGAATCTCTGAATTAAGTACAACGCATCAGCCTATCCCTTCTCAATTTTCAGTCACAGGAAATTAAAATATAAATACTCCCATAGAGTAAATGGGAAAAAAGCCCAACTCTATACATACTCCAAAAGACATAATCAAATTAATACTCAGAATTTCCCACTGAAGTTAAAAAAGGTAAAGCACAGTTGTTTATACCTGTAAAAAAAAAAAGGAAAAAGAATATTTTCTGCTATACTTTTTATAGCAAAAGAGCTGGATTGTAAGCACATGCTTTCCAAGTAGGTTAATGATTGTCACTTAATCTTACGTCCAGCAACAAACATCATTTCCATTGCCCAGACTTTCCTGATTTGAAGTAAAAGCTAAATCCCAATGACAACAAAACTAGAGAGTGACCTTTAATAGATTTTCTAGACACAGAACAGCATTATAGTTTCTGGTGCATTTGTTTCACAGTTGTGAAATTCTTTAGCACCCAAACCAACAAGTGTAAAATATAGTCAGTTTGGCATCATATCTACAAAAACAAATTAAATAACAATGGTTACACTGGTCTTTACCAGCTCCTTATCTCTATTTTTAACTATTACATTCAGGTGATGAGAGATTTGTACAGAGATGTATATATGTATACATATACATATACACACATACATCTGTATAATATGTCTGGAAAAAAAAAATCTGACATAGAACTACTTCTTCAGGTCTGTAACAGAATTCAAGCATATGAGCTCTAACTACTGCCAAAAACCATCTTTCATTTTAAACCCATGTAGGTATTAATTGAAAAATTATTTTCAATATCTAAGGACAGCAGCTATTAAGCAGTCTTCCTTCCTTCACCAGAATAACATTCAGTATGAAAAAGTGCTTTGGGATAAATCCCAGACTTCATGAGTTACAAGCAGTCTGCTGACTGAACGGATAGTACACGATAGATGAATTTCATAAACTATTTGTTGAGATACTCAGAAATTAGTCTATTATGATGCAGAAAATCAGTATGCTTTGCAGCTGCTGGAGCTGTAGGAATAACACCACATCTAGGTCCTAATCAGCCTTTTAAAATGCATTTCCTGCAATATTAGACAGATTCTTCCTCTCTTCAAACCAGGTCCCTGAACTACTCACAACTGTGAGCATCAATCAACAAATTAACAGATTTTAGGTAATGAAATAATCTTAACCCCTAACAACAGAAGCATAGCAAAGAATATAAGGAAAATTATTTTTAAAGAAAAATAAAGAGTCTAGCCACTATTTCATTTAATCTCCATGCTGTCCTCTAAGAGAGGCCCTAGACAAGGGTGAAAAAAAGCCTCTTGCCTTCAAACACTTGATCTCCAGGGTTTTTATTTGGCAGATATACTCCCCCCAGGTGCAACCCAAAACAACTGGTGTTCTCTTCCTTCCAGGCCATCACTCCTGCTCTCAGCAAGAACCTTTCTCATCATTTCCTCACTTGGGAGCCAGCTGCTTTGAAGTCTCATCTCCACTACTTCATCCAGTTCAACCTGCAAAGTCAATGACCATGCAGCCACCTGTACTTACC